ATGTTGAGGTTCTGGCCCCTGAGGTTCAGGAGTCTGGAAATCAGGATTTTGACATTAGAGATGGTGGAGGACAGGGTTTTGAGGTCCTGGACATTGGGGATTGGGTTGTTGAAGGTCAGGGCGCTGAGGTTCAGGATGTTGAAAATCAGGATATTGCCATTTTAGATTTTGGGATTCAGGGGTTTGAAATTATGGACGATGGACTTCAGGTTGTTGAAGAATTTGGCAACTTCTCTGACTTTATGGATTGGGCTGATAAAGGGGACTGTGCATTTAACTGACGTGGTTTGGATCCGACATAAGTGATAATGGTGGGGGTGACAAATTGGCCTATAAGGGATGTTTAATTTATCACAGGATTGTGATAAAACAGGGGGAAGATTGATTATTGATTATTATTGTTTTTTTATTGATTGATTATTAATATTATTTTTATAATTATTGATTGATTATATATATATAAAAAAAAAAAAACTATTCATGATCCAGCATCAACTATTTAGATGAGCAATTGAGCAAATCAAAGCTGAAAACACTAATCTGGTATGCATGGGATAGACTTTAAGACTGAGGTGTTCACCATGCAGGTACTCTCAACATGATACAGTAGGACCATGGACACTCTTAGGGTTGAGGACACGAGAGTGGGTGAGTATGGTGGTAGGTATAGGGATTATAGCTGGATTTTTTATGTGGGCCTGGGAAACAGAGTTAGGCCAGGGGTATGCAAAACCAACAACTGTCTATGGTAAGGAGAAAACTCTTGGTGTCAATTCCTCAATTTCTGATTATTCAGACATTTTACCCGGCAAACAGATGAAAGAACGCAAAGTTCAACCTACAAAGGTGACAGGGATAAAAATAAGACCAAAAAGGGAATTGGATAAACTGGGAGCATGTGCAAAAAAGCGACAATACCTATTTGGGGTGCAATTGTATTTAGCAAAGGGAGAACATATGGCATTCCAGGTACCTTTTATAGCATTAGTAAACAAAGGGAAAAAAGTGGGAGCAGAAAATTCAGATTATGAATGGTACATGACAAATGGGGGACAATGGTGGCATATACTGGAGTAGATTGGACACCGACACCAACTACAGAGTTTGCAAGACACCATTCTAAAATAATTTCCATGACAAAGGGGATTATGCAGGGAAGTGTACCATGTCTTACAATTACAGTGGACTTGAGAGTTGAGTCATTGGACCCAAGAGACAGATCAGGGAAGAAACCTCTATGGTTTTGTTGGGGATTTCTGGTATGGGCATATGTGCCAGGAGAAGACCCTTGGGCATTAATTACTATATGTGAAGATCCAGTCAGTGTCACAAGAGAAGGGGGGCTTAACGTAGGACATGTAGGTAACACAAATCTAGTAATGGTATATAATGCAACTCTCTTACACGCAGATGATGTTTTCAGAATGGAGACAGGAATAACAGCTACAAAAAATAATTGGCTATTTTTGATTGAGCAAGCTGCAAAAGCTACACAACTAAGTCAATGTATTGCTTGTATGGGACCAAGGCCTATGTTACATGCAGTACCGACTGTAGTAGATAGGGACAATCATACATGTTTAGTAGAGATTATGATGAGAGATAACCTATACCCTAACTGTTCACTATATGATAAAATATATCCGGTAACTGCCACAAATGCGACACCACCAATTTTTAATTCACAAGTAAAAGGTGAATACACCTGCGTCATTAGGAAGGTCCTTAGTGGAGAAAAAAGGGAAGTAGGACATGTAAATAGATCCTTATGCATTAGGTATGAGGATTTCACAGAAAAATTAAATGGACACAAGTTGACAGTAGCCAGAGCAGATGTGTGGTGGTATTGTGGTGGCAAGTCTTTAAGGGGATATCTACACCCTCTGTGGGATGGCATGTGTGTGTTGATCTCATTACTCATACCAATTGAAATAGCTCCAGTGGATCTAGAGAAGCCAGAGATTTTGAAACAAATCATTAGTGTAAAAACCAGATCAAGAAGGGCACTGGCTAGACCAGAGGAGGGAAGTCCAGTTTATATTGATGCAATAGGTATTCCTAGGGGAATTCCAAATGAATACAAATTGGTTGATGAAATTGCATCAGGATTTGAAAATATACCAATAATCTCTGCAATTTTCCCAGTAACCCCAAATAAGAACGTCGATTGGATCAACTACTTACATTACAACATACAGAGGCTAAGCAATTATACATATGATGGATTTGAGGCAATTCATGAACAATTATCAGCCACATCCTTAATGACCTTCCAGAACAGACTTGCTGTTGACATGATTTTAGCTAAAGAAGGCGGAGCCTGTTCATTGATTGGCCCTACGTGCTGTACGTTTATCCCAAATAATACTGCCCCAGATGGAAAATTAACAAGGGCCCTTCAGGGACTGAAGGCGCTATCCCAAGAAATGAAGGCACATTCAGGAGTAGACCAATCAATGTGGGATGGGTGGTTGGATGTGTTTGGCAGATATAAGGCACTGATAGCATCAACTCTGCTATCGGTGGCTGTATTTGCAGCAATCCTGACGCTATGTGGATGCTGTTGTATTCCGTGCATACGATCCTTATGTAACAGAGTGATAACAGCCGCTGTGGAAGGGAAGGTGGCAGAAAGACAACTGCTACTAACCCAGGACCTACAGTGGGAACCAGAAGAATTGATGACCATAGCCTAAACCATAAAGGACAATCATCAGAAGAACGGGTGAGTCTGGTCTGTGATATTGTCAGAATATCACCAGAGGAGTTGTGAGTATGCTTTATGATATTATCAAAATATTTTAATCAAAAATTTATAACTGCTTGCATGTAAATAACGCACATAACCTTGCAAAATTGTAAGAGGGACTTGGGAAAAACGGGGATGCGATAAAATTTATAAAAAAAAAAAAAAACAAAAAAAAAAATTACATAATTCAAATTGATGCACGACACAAACATATTCTTTCTCCACAGCTCTTGCAACTATTGTTTTTGCTACACAGACTAGACACCGCAGCACACCCACATATAGATTGTTTTATAGGATCACTTCAATGTATGTAGTTTAGGGTGAGTTGGATGCTCAGTCCGCCCAGAGGCCTTTGGGGGGGCCTGAAGTAAGGGCTGAGTGGAAGACCACCACATTTTTCATAATGTCACATGGGGTGGTTTAGGAGTTCACAGATCGTCGTGAAGACTGGGATTAGACTGAGTATAGGATGTAATGCTGAATCAACTGATGAAGATGGGCCATCTGAGACGAGAGTGATGGATGTCCGAAGAGTTCCTCTCCGGCCAACAGGGGGACTGTTGGAATATTAGAGGCCTCCTGCACCAGTTAAACTAAAATCAGTTTAGTATTGTTTCTGTTGCTAAATTAATACTCAAACAACTTAAACGTCAGAATGATTAGGTCTAGAAAGCACTTGTTTGTGTAAATTTCAAAGAGCAGTTAGGTCAAGGTTATTATTTCTGAATAATAGCAGTTCTGTATGAAAAGTGAGAAAAACTAGAGTTGTTTATCAAGAAGGTGCAGGTTTTGGCAGCTGGCCAGAAGAAGTCATAGAGACCACGAATCTGTGATGTCAGTGACCTTGGATGTACAGTATAAAAGATGTACAGAAGGAGGCACGGGGGCTTCTTCTTCTGACCAGGAGCAGAGAGACGTCCCCGAGGCCACTCCTTATCTTCAAACGCGAAGCGAGGCTTGTTCGCAGACCGTTATTTCTTGTAATGTTACTTGCAAATCTTCAATATAACATCTGAAATCAGGTTTGGTGTCTGTCATTTCTATTACTGTTTTAACATTGGTATTGTCTCTTGTTGAACCAAAAAGAACCTACAGGACGAAACGGGCTGTGGTGTTGCGGCCTCTCTGCAGCGTCCAGAGCAGGGGAACCCTGACAGATTAACTGCAGTAGCCCACGTGAATTGAGTTTGGTTCAGTCTGGTTCAGTCTGCAGTACCGCGAGAATCCCCTGAGCACATGAGTTATTCAGCTACAAGCTAGTAATACCCTATCCAGTTAATATAATACATCCATGCCTAGCACGTCCCGGTGAAACCTTTGGGAGCTAACTATTTTATTTGCAGTCATTAAATACATTTCGAATTATAAGGGCTGTCTAATATTTGTTCGAATATATATATATTTTTTTTATTTCAGAATTATATTCAAATGTTGAAGTCGAAGCCCTGGTGTTAAGCAGCGCTGTAGAGGCTAGAGGACGCAGGCTGGTCGCTTCTTGTTCTGTGAGCGGAGGAGAATGAGCGGCCCGCTCAGACTCTACTCAGCACTTTTCACGGCCTGAATTTCATACACAGTTGAATCAATGACCTCAAGTTTTCAATTAAATGATGTATTATGATACAACTTGTATGTAGTAAAAAGCATTTTTATGAACTACTTAGAAAAAAATCGGGTATAGCTTCTTTAATACTGCATTTATATGTTGTTCAGAACGGCCACATGATTGGTCTAAGTCGATCTTAGATAAACTACATATAAATGTAACAGAATAAATACATATTGTACCTCTCTTCTTTCCATATTTGTATTTGTAGGTCTCTAAAAAGGCACAAACTTCTTTATTCTCCAAATCATTCATTCATAGTTTATTCCAAACAGCAGTGCGGGTTTAAGGTGCAAAAGCGTCACATACACAAAATCATTTATGTACAAACAATAACATCTTTGCATAATTCGCCTGATTCAAACGCACACAGATACGTCCGATCATTTCAAAGTTGAAGCAAGAATGCAATAAGTTTACATTTCTAGTTTGTTTGTAAAAATGTGATTTAAAATTACCAGTTTGACATAAATAAGTTTTTCCCGGCTGCGAAAAAAGAACGAGAAACACAAAAACGTAGTTCAAATCACCAGATCCATAGAAGAGTCCTCTATGTCGATCGCACACAATTTTCTCTTAAAAAATTAAATACAAGTTTAAAATTAATTTCCTCACAATAGTTTGATTCCTATGCAGCAGAAGTGTCTAGTCTGTACGCGGCAACACTGGCAATCCACACAAGTTTAAAACACTTGAGACTTTATTACTTTTCTTGGAGTGACTTTCAACAAGTTTGGACTTCAGATATTTTATATTAATATTAAGATAATATTAACTTTATTCTCCATAGGGAAATGTGTCCTCTGTATTTGACCCAATGCCACAAGGGCAACTGTCGCAAGGCCTGTCAAAAGAATAAATATTTCGGAGTAAAAATAGACACAATTACATCTTTTGCTCCAGTCACCGTCCTGCTCTGTTCTTTTTTTTCTGTGGCTCTTTTAGTTTAACATGTCTGTAAAATGTTAATCATCCCAGAACGTCTGTGTTTATGGGATTCACGACATCTACCAATTAGGCATTTACTTAGGCATTAGGCTAAATTATTAGTCACAAAATAAAGCATGTTGCCAACAGGAATCTATGCCACGCCATCCATCCATTTTCCGCTTCATCCGTTGCCGGGTCGCGGGGGCAGCAGTCTAAGCAGAGACGCCCAGACTTCCCTATCCACACACACTTCCTCCAGCTCGTCCGGGGGGACCCCAAGGCGTTCCCAGGCCAGCTGAGAGACCCAGCGCAGGGGTGTCCAAACCGGTCCAGAAAGGGCCGCTGTGGCTGCAGATTTTCTATCATACCCAAGTAGACTTCACCCACTGCCTCAAATCTTCAGGTTAAGACTGAACTCTCTAGAGGAAATGGGTGGAGTCTGCTCTGCTCCTGTTGGGTATGATAGAAAACCTGCAGCCACAGCGGCCCTTTCTGGATCGGTTTGGACACCCCTGCTCCAGCGTGTCCTGGGTCTTCCCCGGGGTCTCCTTCCGGTGGGACGTGCCCGGAATGCCTCCCCAGGGAGGCGTCCAGGAGGCATCCTGAACAGATGCCCGAGCCACCTCAACTGGTTCCGCTTGACGTGGAGAAGCAGCGGCTCTACTCAGAGCTCCTCCCGTGTGACTGAGCTCCTCACCCTATCTCTAAGAGAGCAGCCACTCTGCGGAGGAAGCTCATTTCGACCGCTTGTATCCGCGATCTCGTTCTTTCGGTCATTACCCAAAGCTCATGACCATAGGTGAGGGAGGGAACGAAGATTGACCGGTAAATCGAGAGCTTTGCCTTTCGGCTCAGCGCCCTCTTTACCACAACGGTCCGATACAGCTCGGGCCGCAGACGCTGCTCCCTCTTCATCACAACGGTCCCCTACAGCGACCGCCTCACTGCGCACGCTGCACCGATCCGCCTGTCAATCTCACGCTCCATTCTTCCCTCACTCGTGAACAAGACCCCGAGATACTTGAACTCCTCCACTTGAGGAAGGACCTCTCCACCCACCTGGAGAGGGCAAGGCACCTAGAGAGACCATGGCCCTCAAGAGACCAGTCCCAGTGCAGAGAGACCTGGTTCGAGAGACCAGAGAGAGGACCAGAGAGAGACTAGAGAGAGACACCGGACAGAGAGACCAGAGAGAGAGACCAGACAGAGAGATCAGAGAGAGACCAGAGAGAGAGACCAGAGAGAGACCTGAGAGAGACTAGAGAGAGACCAGAGAGAGAGACCAGACAGAGAAACCAGAGAAAGAGACCAGACAGAGAGACCAGAGAGACACCAGAGAGAGACCAGAGAGAGACCAGAAAGAGAGACCAGAGAGAGACCAGAGAGAGAGACCAGAGAGAGAGACCAGAGAGAGAGACCAGAGAGAGACTAGAGAGAGACCAGAGAGAGAGACCAGAGAGAGAGACCAGACGGAGAGACCAGAGAGAGAGACCAGAGAGAGAGACCAGACAGAGAGACCAGAGAGAGAGACCAGAGAGAGACGAGAGAGAGAGACCAGACAGAGAGACCAGAGAGAGAGCAGAGAGAGACCAGAGAGAGAGACCAGACAGAGAGACCAGAGATAGACCAGAGAGAGAGACCAGATAGAGAGACCAGACAGAGAGACTAGAGAGAGACCAGAGAGAGAGAGAGAGCAGAGAGAGACCAGAGAGAGAGACCAGACAGAGGGACCAGAGAGAGACCAGAGAGAGAGACCAGACAGAGAGACCAGAGAGAGACCAGAGAGAGAGAGAGCAGAGAGAGACCAGAGAGAGAGACCAGACAGAGGGACCAGAGAGAGACCAGAGAGAGAGACCAGATAGAGAGACCAGAGAGAGACTAGAGAGAGACCAGAAAGAGATCAGAGAGAGACCAGAAAGAGACCAGAGAGAGACGAGGGAGAGACCAGAGAGAGACCAGAGAGAGACCAGAGAGAGAGACCAGAGAGAGACCAAAGACAGAGACCAGCAAGAGACCAGAGAGAGACCAGAGAGAGACCAGAGAGAACAGAGAGAGAGACCAGAGAGAGACCAGAGAGAGAACATAGAGAACAGAGAGAGAGACCAGAGAGACACCGGAGAGAGACCAGAGAGAAAGACCAGACAGAGAGATCAGAGAGAGACCAGAGAGAGAGACCAGAGAGAGACCAGAGAGAGAGAGAGAGAGACCAGAGAGAGACCTGAGAGAGATTAGAGAGAGACCAGAGAGTAAGACCAGAGAGAAACCAGAGAAAGAGACCAGAGAGAGAGACCAGAGATACACCAGAGAGAGACCAGAAAGAGAGACCAGAGAGAGACCAGAGAGAGAGACCAGACAGAGACTAGAGAGAGACTAGAGAGAGTCCAGAGAGAGAGAGGCCAGAGAGAGAGACCAGAGAGAGAGACCAGACAGAGAGACCAGAGAGAGACCAGAGAGAGACCAGAGAGAGACTAGAGAGACACCAGAGAGAGAGACCAGAGAGAGACTAGAGAGAGACCAGAGAGAGAGACCAGAGAGAGAGACCAGAGAGAGACCAGAGAGAGAGACCAGAGAGAGAGACCAAGAGAGAGACCAGAGAGAGACCAGAGAGAGAGACCAGAGAGACCAGAGACCAGAGAGAGACCAGAGAGAGACTAGAGCGAGACCAGAGAGAGAGACCAGAGAGAGACCAGAGAGAGAGACCAGAGAGAGACCAGAGAGAGACAAGAGAGAGAGACCAGAGAGAGACCAGAGAGAGACCAGAGAGAGAGACCAGAGAGAGAGACCAGACAGAGAGACCAGAGAGTGATACCAGAGAGTGAGACCAGACAGAGAGACCAGACAGAGAGACCAGACAGAGAGACCAGAGAGAGAAACCAGAGAGAGAGACCAGAGAGAGACCAGAGAGAGAGACCAGAGAGAGACCAGAGAGAGAGACCAGACAGAGAGACCAGACAGAGAGACCAGAGAGACAGACCAGAGAGAGAGACCAGAGAGAAAGCCCAGACAGAGAGACCAGAGAGAGAGACCAGACAGAGAGACCAGAGAGTGATACCAGAGAGTGAGACCAGACAGAGAGACCAGACAGAGAGACCAGACAGAGAGACCAGACAGAGAGACCAGACAGAGAGACCAGAGAGAGACCTGAGAGAGAGACCAGAGAGAGAGACCAGACAGAGAGACCAGACAGAGAGACCAGAGAGAGACCAGAGAGAGAGACCAGAGAGAGAGACCAGAGAGAGAGACCAGACAGAGAGACCAGAGAGAGAGACCAGAGAGAGACCAGAGAGAGAGACTAGAGAGAGACCAGAGAGAGAGACCAGAGAGAGAGACCAGACAGAGAGACCAGAGAGACCAGAGAGAGAGAGACCAGAGAGAGACCAGAGAGAGAGACCAGACAGAGAGACCAGAGAGAGAGACCAGAGAAAGACCAGAGAGAGAGACCAGAGAGAGACCAGAGAGAGAGACCAGAGAGAGACCAGACAGAGAGACCAGAGAGAGACCAGAGAGAGAGACCAGACAGAGAGACCAGACAGAGAGACCAGAGATAGACCAGAGAGAGACTAGAGAGAGACCAGAGAGAGACCAGGGAGAGACCAGAGAGAGAGACCAGAGAGAGAGACCAGAGAGAGACCAGAGAGAGACTAGAGAGAGACCAGAGAGAGACCAGGGAGAGACCAGAGAGAGACCAGGGAGAGACCAGAGAGAGACCAGAGAGAGACCAGAGAGACCAGAGAGAGACCACTGAGAGAATATAGAGAGACCAGATAGACCCTGGAGAAAAACCAGAAAGAGACCACAGAGAGAATATAGAGAGACCAGAGAGAGAGACCAGAGAGATACCAGACCAGAGAGAGACCAAAGACAGAGACCAGAAAGAGACCAGAGAGAGACCAGAGAGAGACCAGAGAGAGACCAGAGAGAGACCAGAGAAGAACAGAGAGAGAGACCAGAGAGAGACCAGAGAGAGAGACCAGAGAGAATAGAGAGAGACCAGAGAGAGAGACCAGAGAGAGACCAGACAGAGAAACCAGAGAAAGGGACCAGAGAGAGAGAGACCAGAAAGAGAGACCAGAGAGAGACCAGACAGAGAAACCAGAGAAAGGGACCAGAGAGAGAGAGGCCCGACAGAGAGACCAGAGAGAGAGACCAGACAGAGAGACCAGAGAGAGAGACCAGAGAGAGACCAGAGAGAGACTAGAGAGAGACCAGAGAGAGAGACCAGAGAGAGACCAGAGAGATAAACCAGAGAGAGACCAGAGAGAGAGACCAGAGAGAGAGACCAAAGAGAGAGACCAGAGAGAGACCAGAGAGAGACTAGAGAGAGACCAGAGAGAGACTAGAGAGAGAGACCAGAGAGAGACCAGAGAGAGAGACCAGAGAGAGAGTCCAGAGAGAGACCAGAGAGAGACCAGAGAGAGACCAGAGAGAGAGAGAGACCAGAGAGAGACCACAGAGAGAGACCAGAGAGAGACCAGAGAGAGAGAACAGACAGAGAGACCAGAGAGAGAGACCAGACAGAGAGACCAGAGAGAGACCAGAGAGAGACCAGAGACCAGAGAGAGAGACCAGAGAGAGACCAGAGAGACCAGAGAGAGACCAGAGAGAGACTAGAGAGAGAGACCAGAGAGAGACCAGAGAGAGAGACCAGACAGAGACCAGAGAAAGACCAGAGAGAGAGACCAGAGAGAGACGACAGAGAGACTAGAGAGACAAGAGAGAGACCACAGAGAGACCAGAGAGAGACTAGAGAGAGACCAGAGAGAGACCCGAAAGAGACCTGAGAAAGAGACCAGAGAGAGACCAGAGAGAGACCACAGAGAGACCACAGAGAGACTAAAGAGAGACTAATGAGTGACCACAGAGAGTACACAGTGTGAGGTCAGAGTGGGCGCGTTGTTTTGGCCCGTGTCGCTCACTGGAGTTGAGGAGGATCATGGCCTTGAGGCAGACGTACTCCTCTCTCTGCAGCTGCAGCTCCCGGAACCTGCAGGTGGCAGCTAGGAGCAGGTCGAAGATCTCCAGGATCCCCTCCACACACTGGCCTTCATCTCTGTGGGGACACACACTTTATATACACACACACACCAGTAGCGGCGCCAGCTTTGCAATTTTGGTTAGGCCTACAGATTAGTAAATTCGCTTGCAAACTACAAGGGGTAGAATTGGGGTTTCAAAGAATATGGTTCAAATGCACACACGCACGCACACGCACTCAAGCACACACATACACACAAGCTCATTTATGAAACTTGCGTAGAAAAAGGTGTACATTTTGGGTGTATATTCCATTCACGCAAAATCCAACGTCGGATTTATGAACGTGTGAGATCCGCCCAGATCTGAGCGTACGCAGCTGCAGGTGTTCGTAAATGCGGCGGCTGAATAAGAACGTATTTATGAAAGTCACGCCTAGAATTATGCAGCAATGCGTGTTTCACGCCCCGTCTTTGCGACAGGTCAGCAGGAAGTCGGCCAAAAAGACTGTTCGGAAGCCTCAAAAGGCACGTTTGTGTGTTCATGTTTATGTAAAAATAAATATACGCTATATATTCAGCTGCGTTTTGAACAAATTTGCAAAAATGTTTTTATACATTAGAAAAATCTCTCTTGAATAGTAGAAGTAAATAAATATAGATTGATTGAATGAATTAATTAATATATATTATGCAGCTGTGGCTCTGAATGAAGCGTCTGCAGCGTCTTGGACGCAGCCTGGCTCGGGGTAGAAGTGCGCATTGAGGCGCTGTACACTTCAGAGAGCGTTTGCGGTCCAGATTTCACAAAGAAACTCTGGATCCAAAACTTCTGCACATGTGGCGCGACCTCTCCACACTGCGCACTCTGGACAGGGCAGTGAGACATTTGTGAGTGAGCAATACCATCGATGCGTTAATGGTGTGTGTGTCTGTGTGAGAGTTACACAAATCTAATGAATACATTGCTTTACCAGATGTGAATGAGGACTATAAATAGCTGTGCGTAATTACGATGACACTGAAATTTCTCCACTGTGAGACTAATAAAGGTTTATCTTATCTTATCTTATTACGCAGCGCAGAGCCTGCCACAGCAATAGATGGGTCACACATCCCTGTCGCGTAAAGTGTATTTGTATAGAGCTGTATAGAGCACTGTCCAGGATCACAAAGCACAAAGCAAAGATCAAAATAATACACACACAAGTCAGATTTAAAATCAGACAGAAGAGTCCCTCATCATGATCTGTGATTTATTCGAAGTTAGCGTGTTTCCATTAGACTTTTTCTGATGCGCAAATTCAAATTTTGAAACATGATGCTCAATGAAAACACAGATTTTGCCAGAGGGAATATGTTTATTGTTGTCCATATCTTGAATTTCATGCGTGTTTTGGCGTGTTGTGCCGAAGGTTGAGATCAGCGTCTAGATTTACTCCACCTCCAGACCTGGCGTATATTTTTTGGGTATTGTACGCTCACGTCCAGATTGATAAATGCGGAAAAGTGTAAATATTTTGCGTACGCCTCATTTACCCTGATTTGTCCGTACGCAGGTTTCATACGTGAGGCCCACAGTGTGTCTCACACAGGCCTAGAGTTTACCTCATCAGTGCGAGGCGAGCCTGGCCTGACTGCGCTCTCCTCCTCTGGGACCTACAGGCCCGGGCCTCTGCCTCACCAAGCTCACGCTGAACTTTCTTAAAACTAAAATGAAAAAGGCTGCTCTGTTTTGAATGTTTTGAGAGCGTTGTCAATCTTTAAGACAAGGAATAGCTGGTTGTTCTCGGGAACGAGCTTCGCGCTGTGTGATATGATCATCTTATTGGACAGAATTGTTCAGCCAATAAACAGGACTATATTTGAAGCAACGTAGGAACGTTGCTTCAACGTTAGGGGGTTATATTTTCTTATAACAATAGAACTCAACATTTAGGCATTAGCAATAATGTGTGTTTAAAAATAACAATATTTAAATTATGACTTTTAATAAAAAAGGCGAATGACTTGAGAGGCGAAAAACAAATTTGAGTAGGCCAAGAAAAAAACTGGTAGGCACCGGCCTACCCAGGCCTACCCGGGCCTATCCCTGGCGCCGCGGCTGACACACAGACACACACACACAGGCCTTCATCTCTGTGGGGACACACACTTTATACACACACACACACACTGGCCTTCATCTCTGTTGGGACAAACACTTTATACACACACACACACACTGGCCTTCATCTCTGTGGGGACACAAACTTTATACAAACACACAAACAATGGCCTTCATCTCTGTGGGGACACACACTTTATATACACACACACACAAACACGCACTGGCCTTCATCTCTGTGGGGACACACACTTTATACACACACACACACTGGCCTTCATCTCTGTGGGGACACACACGTTATACACACACACACTGGCCTTCATCTCTGTGGGGACACACACTTTATACACACACACTGGCCTTCATATCTGTGGGGACACACACTTTATACACAGACACACACACACTGGCCTTCATCTCTGTTGGGACAAACGCTTTATATACACACACACACATTAGCCTTCATCTTTGTGGGGACACACATTTTATACACACACTGGCCTTCATCTCGGTGGGGGGACACACTTTATATACACACACACTGGCCTTCATCTCTGTGGGGACACACACTTTATACAAACACACACTGGCCTTCATCTCTGTGGGGACACACACACATATGCACACACACTGGCCTTCATCTCTGTGGGGACACACACTTTATACACACACTGGCCTTCATCTCTGTTGGGACAAACGTTTTATATACACACTGGCCTTCATCTCTGTGGGGACACACACTTTATACACACACACAATGGCCTTCATCTCTGTGGGGACACACACACATATGCACACACACTGGCCTTCATCTCTGTGGGGACAAACATTTTATACACACACTGGCCTTCATCTCTGTGGGGGGACACACTTTATATACACACACATTGGCCTTCATCTCTGTGGGGACACACACTTTATACACACACACACTGGCCTTCATCTCTGTGGGGACACACACATATGCACACACACTGGCCTTCATCTCTGTGGGGACACACACTTTATACACACACACACACACACACACTGGCCTTCATCTCTGTGGGGGGACACACTTTATATACACACCCACACACATACACACACACACACACTGGCCTTCATCCCTGTGGGGACACACACTTTATACACACACACACATATACATACACACTGGCCTTCATCTCTGTGGGGACACACACTTTATATACACACATATATACACACACATATACACACTGGCCTTCATCTCTTTGGGGACACACACTTTATACACACACACATATACACACACACTGGCCTTCATCTCTGTGGGGACACACAATTTATATACACACACACACACACACACACACACATACACACAATACAATTACAATACAATACAATTTATTCTTGTATAGCCCTAGGTCACAACAGAAGTCATCTCAGAGGACTTAACAAAACCATTGAAATCACCAACACAGGTCAGAGAATCAACAGTTAAAACACATGAAGAATATAAAGCACACACAGAAGAAAATGTCATCGTACCATGAAACAGACAATGGGACAACGGGTGAATAGCAATGAACAAACTACAGTCAAAATCCTAATAATGCTAAACAAGTAAAGTAGGAAGGAGGAGAGGATAGTGCTCAAGTTACTATACTTATCCAGCAGGGGGCTCCCTATGCAGCTTGACTGACAGTCTGAGGAGTTTAGCCTTCCCTGAGTCTTACCTTCCTAGCCATATGCTAAACTAAAGAGGACTGTTTTAAACCTAGCCTTGAACAAAGAGAGCGTATCTGAAAGGAGGCGAGACAGCAGCAGCCACGGCTAGGCTAGCCCAGGCTACAGCACCAAGATTCATGGATTGCACACAAGGTGTGCAAACCGATCCAGGCAAACCTAATTATATATTATATATCATATACATAATATATACCATACATATTATATATATATATATTATATATAATACATATACAGTTTTCCTACAGCTGGATCTTCATTGCACAAGCATGTGCTCAGACACTGAGGGGTGTGGACGCGTGCATGTGTGAAGCTCAAGCTCGGGACACACACATGTGTAGTACATGCAAACACACTTCTGGATATGCTCATGGCTAACAAATGTGCACACACACACACACATGCATATACCCACTCAGGCACACGCACACATGCACACCTACATTTCCATCTGGGTGCATCCACACAAACACAAACATACACTTATACCCAGGCATAAACACAAGTACACATACAAATACACACAGCACTCATGCACTATCAAAAACAAACATTTACACACATGCATGTGTACCCACTCCGACACACACACACAACACACTGCGCACAACACACTACACACACACAACACACCGCACACTACACACAACACACACACACCTAATTGAAAAACAATATAAATATGAAAATGTTAATGGGGGTAAGCTCCCACAAGTATTTTACTTCGGCTTACTCCCTTTAAGCTGTCTACTTTTTCTTGAAATGTTTTCCTATTGGTTTGTTTTTTGTTTTGTATGACCTGCTCAAATAAATTGATTGATTGATTGATACATAACGTTTTGTGAGCGCAACGCTCGACTTGGTTGATACGACACTAACGTGTCTTGGAGATAAGAAGGAGCCAAGCCATTTATGGCTTTATATGTTAAGAGAAGGATTTTAAACTTTATTCTGTACTCCACAGGGAGCCAGTGGAGTGATTTTAACACCGGAGTTATGTGCTCCCTCCTTTTGGTACCTGTTAAGATCCTAGCTGCTGTATTCTGAACGAGCTGGAAGCTCTTCAAAGAGGCTTTAGGGCATGCTGCCAGTAAAGCGTTACAGTAGTCGAGCCTTGAGGTGACAAAAGCGTGAATACGTTTTTCCGCGTCACTTTTAGGAAGGAAATTCCTGATTTTAGCGATGTTCTGTAAGTGGAAGTACGCCGTTTTAGTTGCTTGGCTTATATAAGCCTTGAAGGAGAGTTCTTCATCAAAAATTACTCCAAGATTCCTCACAGTGTTACTGGGTATAATACTGACATTATCAGAGTAATTATCTGGTTAGTGAGGGTGTCACGCAGGCGCTTCGGACCTAGTAGGATCACTTCTGTCTTCTCCGGGTTGAGAAGTAGGAAGTTAAGAGTCATCCACGTTTTAAGGTCCATTATGCAGGCACTAAGCTTTTCTAGCTGATCTGTCTGATTTGGCTTCATCGACAGATAAAGCTGTGTGTCATCTGCATAGCAGTGGAAATTAATTCCATGCTTTTTAATAATGTTTCCTAACGGCAGCATGTAGAGAGTGAAAAGAATCGGTCCGAGTACCGAACCCTGCGGCACACCGAATTCTACTCCAGAATAAGATGACGAGTTCTGATTTACGTTGACGAAGTGATACGGATCTGATAAATAGGATTTAAACCAGCCAAGGGCTGTTCCTCTAAGACCTATATCACATTCTAGCTCTGCAGTAGAATGCTGTGGTCTATTGTGTCAAATGCAGCACTAAGGTCCAGTAGGACCAGCACTGACACTTGTCCATTATCAGCAGCTAGTAGTAAGTCATTTGTGACTTTTACTAGTGCCGTTTCAGTGCTATGATGAGCTCTGAATCCTGATTGAAAGACTTCAAACATATTATTTTCCTGCAGGTGGCAGCAAAGCTGCTCAGCTATAAGTTTTTCCAGGATTTTAGATATGAAAGCGAGGTTCGAGATCGGTCTGTAGTTTGTAAGTATTTCTGGCGTATTGTTTTAAAGTGTGGAGTTGAACACTGTACCAGGGCGACGATGATCTAATCCTAATAGTTTTCTGTTTTAAAGGAGCAGCTGCATTTAATGCAGATTTTAAAGACTCCATAGTGTTGTCCACCGTTTGGTCAATGACTGAGGGACTGCAGCAGCTGTGAACAGGTTCACCTGCAGCAGTATTCAACATAGGCTGTATTAGTTCTTTGAACCTTGTGATAGATTTATCATTTAAGGTTCTTTTCATTATGGTTTTATCTTGCGGCGCAGGAAAGTCCTCCAAATCGAGATCAAACGTGATCAAGAAATGGTCAGACAGCAACGAGCTTTGACGCTGGATGTCAACATTGGAGACATCACAGCCGTAGGTCAGGACAAGGTCCAAGGTGTGGTTATGAATGTGAGTAGGTTCCTCAACATTCTGAGTAAAACCAACACTGTCTAGTACGGCGCTGAAAGCTTTGTATAAGCTGTCAGTGCTGTCGTCCACATGTATATTGAAGTCTCCAGTTATAACTATGTTTTCCCATTCCAAAACTAGGTTTGAAATTAAGTCAGAGAATTCTGTTAGGAACTCGCTGTAAGGACCAGGAGGTCGGTATAAAACTATAAATAGCACCGCTTTTTGTTTTCTCCACCCAGGACAGGTGATTGAAAGTGTTAAGTTTTCAAACGAGTGAAAAGCATTGTTGGTTTTGGGACTAAGAAGTAAGTTGGTGTGTGATATAATCGCAACACCACCGCCGCGACCTGTAGTTCTGGCTTTTTGGTAGTTAACATGCGTCGGAGGCGTGCACTCATTCAATCTAACGTAGTCGTCCTGTTGGAGCCAAGTCTCCGAGAGCGCAAACAAATCCAAGCCCTTGTCTATAATAAGTTCGTTTATGAGAAGCGATTTAGACGAGATTGATCTGACGTTCATTAAACCACATTTAACAACCCTACTGTTAGAACTATTTCTGTCTGTCTGAACTTTTATTAAGTTACTGTGTCTGACACCCAGGTCAGATTTCCTCACATATAGTGCTTCAGACTTCAAGTGAGGAACACACACAGTTTCAATCTGACTAGCTTCTGAGGCTAGTAACTGAGCACACACATGCACTCACAGTTTCAATCTGACTAGCTTCTGAGGCTAGTAAGTGAACAGATGGGGGCTCAGAGGTTGTGGCAGAGCAGCTCTGCACCCGGGCCTCAGTTCTGCACACATATAGACAATTTATCTGGTACCTATAGTGCCTTGCGAAAGTATTCACCTTTCAACATAGTAAGTAAGTAAGTAAGTAATCTTTATTTATATACATTTTGCCACATTTCAGGCTTCAAACATAAAGATATAAAATTCAATTTTTTGTCATGAATCAACAACAAGTGGGACACAATCGTGAAGTGGAACAAAAACTGATCAGAGATGCAGCCAAGAGGCCCATGATCACTCTGGATGAACTGCAGATAACTACAGCTGAGGTGGTAGAGTCTGTCCATAGGACAACAATCAGTCGTGCACTGCACAAATCTGGCCTTTATGGAAGAGTGGCAAGAAGAAAGCCATTTCTCAAAGATATCCATAAAAAGTGTCGTTTAAAGTTTGCCACAAGCCACCTGGGAGACACACCAAACATGTGGAAGAAGGTGCTCTGGTCAGATTAAACCAAAATCGAACTATTTTGGCCATAATGCAAAACGATATGTTTGGCGTAAAAGCAACACAGCTCATCACCCTGAACACACCATCCCCACTGTCAAACATGGTGGTGGCAGCATCATGCTTTGGGCCTGCTTTTCTTCAGCAGGGACAGGGAAGATGGCTAAAATTGATGGGAAGATGGATGGAGCCAAATACAGGACCATTCTGGAAGAAAACCTGTTGGAGTCTGCAAAAGACCTGAGACTGGGACGGAGATTTATCTTCCAACAGGACAATGATCCAAAACATAAAGCCAAATCTACAATGGAATGGTTCACAAATAGACGTATCCAGGTGTTAGAATGGCCAAGTCAAAGTCCAGACCTGAATCCAATCGAGAATCTGTGGAAAGAGCTGAAGACTGCTGTTCACAAACGCTCTCCATCCAACCTCATTGAGCTCCAGCTGTTTTGCATGGAAGAATGGGCAAGAATTCCAGTCTCTCAATGTGCAAAACTGATAAGAGACATACCCCAAGCGACTTGCAGCTGTAATTGCAGCAAAAGGTGGCGCTACAAAGTATTAGCGCAAGGGGGCCGAATAATATTGCACGCCCCACTTTTCAGTTTTTTATTTGTTAAAAAAGTTTAAATTATCCAATACATTTTGTTCCACTTCACGATTGTGTCCCACTTGTTGTTGATTCTTGACAAAAAAATATTTTTTTTATATCTTTATGTTTGAAGCCTGAAATGTGGCGAAATGTTGAAAGGTTCAATACTTTCGCAAGGCACTGTATGATCTCGGGACTGGTACCTGTAATCCTGGACTGATACCTGTGATCCTGGACTGGTACCTGTAATCCTGGACTGGTACCTGTGATCCTAGACTGGTACCTATTATCTTGGGACTGGTACCTGTGAGTCTGGACTGGTACCTGTGATCCTGGACTGGTACCTGGGATCTTGGACTGGTACCTGTTGAGTCTGAGGTCCTGGGAGAAGATGAGTATCCCTGGGTGGTCCACAGACCTCCACATCAGGCCCAGCATCAGGATCTCCAACCAGCAGCACTTCAGCAGGTGGATCTGGTCTGAAAGGCGAAGCTCCAGGAAGCCTGAGGAGAGACCTAAGACCTGAGACCAGGACTAATGTGAGAGGACTTCAGGACAGAGACCTGAGACCAGGACTAATGTGAGAGGACTTCAGGACAGAGACCTGGGACCAGGACTAATGTGAGAGGACTTCAGGACAGAGACCTGAGACCAGGACTAATATGAGAGGACTTCAGGACAGAGACCTGAGACCAGGACTAATGTGAGAGGACTTCAGGACAGAGACCAGGACTAATGTGAGAGGACTTCAGGAGAGAGACCTGAGACCAGGACTCTCTCCTGAAGGTCCTGGATTTGAATCCCGGCCAGACCAGGGCCTTTCTGAGTGGAGTTTGCATGTTCTCCCCGTGTCTTCGTAGGTTTCCTCCGGGTACTCCAGTTTCCCCTACCACTAAAAACATGCACAATAGGTCTGGCATGCGCCTCCTGTACTGGCGACTCTGCTCCCATCTCTGTGTGGAGTGAGAGACAAATGCCCAAAAATAATAACAATTGTAAACCGCTTTGTGACTCTGGTCTATGGAAGCCCGTTTCCGCCATGTAAAAAAAAAAAGCATACAGAAAGTCAACATTTTGAGTTTAAAACTCAAAATTACGACTTTTAAAAGTCAAAATTTCGACTTTAAAAGTCAAAATTTCGACTTTAAAAGTCAAAATTTTGACTTTAAAAGTCAAAATTACAAGTTTTCAACTGCGCATGTGCAGTTGAAAACTCGTATGTGTTGTTGTCTGGAACGGTCTCTGGACGTCCTTCACCTGCAGATTATGTGAAGATATTGCTGACAGCGACCACTGCATCCTTGAAGTAGCCAGAAATAATGTTGTTTGATTGATTCTGTAAAACTTTCCTGTTTAAGCCCCACACCGTGGTCGTAGGACACAGGGAGGAGCTGTCTTTTTATTTATTTATGTTAAATTCAATTTACATATATACAACATTTAAATCAAACGACGTCTTATTTCGACATAGTAACAAATAATGTGAGCAATACGTTTTTATAATAAATCAAAGGAAAATGAGCCATCGAGACATTCCAATTCAATCTGCTGTAGACCACTCTGACCAGACGATGACGCTGAGAGGGGTCCACACGGAGCGAGTCTTTCCACGACTGAAATGATGCACTTTCTACGTGTTGTGTACGGGGTTTTATTCATGCATCTATAATGGGTTTATCTATTTCTAACCCTTTTCAAAGACCCTCACTGTTATCTGCGGAGTTATTTCTCCGGTTTGTTGCTAAAAGAGTCGTGGGCTTTATTTTGTCACAATAAAATAATCAGACAAGGTACTTATTCCCTGTATGTCTCTGTGTTCTTGCTCATACGCCAACAACTTTACCACACGCTCGCTCCATCAGCTCACCCCCGCGTGCACGCAAACACGTCACATACTCTTCAATGCACTGATCCCAATTCCAAAAGGGTAATATTGTCAGTGCCCGTGACTGTGGTTCTCCTGCCTCTGTCTGTGGTTTACCTGCCTCTGTCTGTGGTTCTCCTGCCTCTGTCTGTGGTTCTCCTTCCTCTGTCTGTGGTTCTCCTGCCTCTGTCTGTGGTTCTCCTGCCTCTGTCTGTGGTTCTCCTGCCTCTGTCTGTGGTTCTCCTGCCTCTGTCTGTGGTTCTCCTTCCTCTGTCTGTGGTTCTCCTGCCTCTGTCTGTGGTTCTCCTTCCTCTGTCTGTGGTTCTCCTGCCTCTGACTGTGGTTCTCCTGCCTCTGTCTGTGGTTCTCCTGCCTCTGTCTGCGGACCTCTCTCACTATCCAGTAATCGCGAACGGTCTCTCTGTCAGTCACAATAATATTCACTGCATTTCTTGGGCATCCATCGATAGCAATGATACTGACCAGACGTCACCAGTTGATGCTCAATGACTTTGAACAGCCACATGTGTTTTATTATTAATCTTCCACAGTCCGTTTAGGATAAACTAAATAGAGGCTTCTGAAGCGGATTTTAATCATAAACGGAGAGACCGTTTGCATTTTAACGCGATTACTACCACAACATTATTGCTGCTACTTCATGGATGTGGTCACTGTCTGTAGGAAATATCTTCACATAATCTGCAGGTAGAGGATGACCCATGGTCATGGATCTATAACAGGGATGACCAGAGACCGTTCCAGACAACAACACATACGAGTTTTCAACTGCACATGCGCAGTTGAAAACTCGTAATTTTGACTTTTAAAGTCGAAATTTTGACTTTCTGTAGGCTTTTTTTTTTTTTTACATGGCGGAAACGGGCTTCCATACTGGTCTGTGAAAGGCGCTATATAAATAAAGATTACTTACTTACTTACTTAATGTGAGAGGACTTGGGGACAGAGACCTGAGACCAGGAGTAATGTGAAAGGACTTCAGGACAGAGACCTGAGACCAGGACTAATGTGATCTAACAATGTAAGCTCTAAAGTCAGATTATTTTTGGGTATTTTTCCAGTAAACTCTTGCACTTTACAAATAAGACTTTTCAGAAACTGATGATCTTCCTCAGTGCTGGAGTTACACCTCTCCTCCCCCTACTCACCCCCCCCCCCCCCCCCCCCCCTCCTCACTCTCCTCACCCACCTCCCCCTCCTCACCCACTCTGAGCTACTCCAAGTCTTTTGTCACAGACACAAAAGAACCAAGGAGCAAAAATGGAGGGAAAATGTCTTTGTGCAGAAAAACAGCAGCTTTTGTGGTCGACACATTAACACCTGAGGCAGAGGAGGGGGGAGGGAGGGAGGAGGGGGAGGTGACGCTGAAGGGGAGACGCTGAAGGGGGGACGCTGAAGGGGGGACGTTGAAGGGGAGACGCTGAAGGGGAGACGCTGAAGGGGAGACGCTGAAGGGGGGACGGTGAAGGGGGGGCGCTGAAGGGGAAACGCTGAAGGGGGGACGCTGAAGGGGGGACGCTGAAGGGGGGCGCTGAAGGGGGGACGCTGAAGGGGGGATGCTGAAGGGGAGACGCTGAAGGGGAGACGCTGAAGGGGAGACGCTGAAGGGGGGACGGTGAAGGGGGGACGCTGAAGGGGAGACTCTGAAGGGGGGACGGTGAAGGGGGGACGCTGGAGGAGAGACGCTGAAGGGGGGACGCTGAAGGGGGGACGCTGAAGGGGAGACGCTGAAGGGGGGACGCTGAAGGGGGGACGCTGAAGGGGGGACGCTGAAGGGGAGACGCTGAAGGGGAGACGCTGAAGGGGAGACGCTGAAGGGGGGACGGTGAAGGGGGGACGCTGAAGGGGAGACGCTGAAGGGGAGACGCTGAAGGGGGGGACGCTGAAGGGGGGACGCTGAAGGGGAGACGCTGAAGGGGGGACGCTGAAGGGGAGACGCTGAAGGGGAGACGCTAAAGGGGGGACGCTGAAGGGGAGACGCTGAAGGGCAGACGCTGAAGGGGGGACGCTGAAGGGGGGACGCTGAAGGGGAGACGCTGAAGGGGAGACGCTGAAGGGGGGACGCTGAAGGGGAGACACTGAAGGGGAGACGCTGAAGGGGGCACGCTGAAGGGGAGCTGGGGATGGAGAGTCTATTAAAGCTCGGGATTTCTATTTTTTTATTGTATAATTGTTTTTTCTTTTCCCAAATTAATCTATTAAACATTTGAACATGTGCAGACAGCGTTCAGTTACGTACAGACTGTAGCTCCTTCTTTAAGAGCAAAGTGCCACAGACTGTAGCTCCTTCTTTAAGAGCAAAGTGCCACAGACTGTAGCTCTTTCTTTAAGACCAAAGTGCCACAGACTGTAGCTCTTTCTTTAAGACCAAAGTGCCAAAGACTGTAGCTCCTTCTTTAAGAGCAAAGTGCCACAGACTGTAGCTCCTTCTTTAAGAGCAAAGTGCCACAGACTGTAGCTCCTTCTTTAAGACCAAAGTGCCACAGACTGTAGCTCTTTCTTTAAGACCAAAGTGCCAAAGACTGTAGCTCCTTCTTTAAGACCAAAGTGCCACAGACTGTAGCTCCTTCTTTAAGACCAAAGTGCCACAGACTGTTGGTCCTTCTTTAAGACCAAAGTGCCACAGACTGTTGGTCCTTCTTTAAGACCAAAGTCAAAAGAAAACAATGTAGACCTTTACCAGTCTGGAAAGACTGACTCTGCAATAGGTAAGCAGCTGTAGACCTGCACCAGGCTGGGAAGACTCTGCTATAGGTAAGCAGCTGTAGACCTGCACCAGGCTGGGAAGACTCTGCAATAGGTAAGCAGCTGTAGACCTGCACCAGGCTGGGAAGACTGACTCTGCAATAGGTAAGCAGCTGTAGACCTGCACCAGGCTGGGAAGACTGACTCTGGAATAGGTAAGCAGCTGCAGACCTGAACCAGACTGGGAAGACTGACTCTGGAATAGGTAAGCAGCTGCAGACCTGAACCAGGCTGGGAAGACTGACTCTGGAATAGGTAAGCAGCTGCAGACCTGAACCAGGCTGGGAAGACTGACTCTGCAATAGGTAAGCAGCTCAGTGTGAAGAAATCTACCGTGGAAGAAATTATTAGAAAATGGAAGACATACAAGACACTGATGATCTCCTCCATCTGGGGCTCCACCATCTCACCCAGAACCACACGGGGACCTAGAGAAGGACCTGTAGAGAGACCATGTAACAAAGGTACCATCAGTGTGATGGTACCTTTACACTAGACCCCAGGGACTCCCTGCAGTGTCAGACCCTGCTTAAGCCAGGACATGTCCAGGTCTGAAGCTACAGAGCATTCGGATGATCCAGAAGAGGATTGGGAGAATGTCACGTGGTATTGGGAGAATGTCACATGGTATTGGGAGAATGTCACATGGTATTGGGAGAATGTCACGTGGTCGGATCAAACCAAAATACAACTTTTGGGTGAAAACTTGTTGTGTTTGGAGGAGAGTTTGGAGGGCTTTGGGGCTGTTTTTCTGCAAAGGGACCAGGACGACTGATCTGTGTAAAAGAAAGAATAAATGGGACCATGTATGGTGAGATTTGTAATGAAAACAATTTCACTCACAGGGACCACCCTCACTCTGCCCAAAGGGTCAGATAGTGACTCATAGGGACCACCCTCACTCTGCCCAAAGGGTCAGATAGTGACTCACAGGGACCACCCTCACTCTGCCCAAAGGGTCAGATAGTGACTCATAGGGACCACCCTCACTCTGCCCAAAGGGTCAGATAGTGACTCACAGGGACCACCCTCACTCTGCCCAAAGGGTCAGATAGTGACTCACAGGGACCATCCTCACTCTGCATTTGAGTGTCAGCTGCACCAGCCCCATTCATTTAAGTCCACAGCAGATAAACTACACTGGTCCAAAAATATACTCCCCTCAACATCCACAGCATCTGGAACCAAGAGGACCAAGAACCACTTTTGAACCAAGAGCCACTTTTGGACCAAGAACCACTTTTGGACCAAAAACCACTTTTGGACCAAAAACCACTTTTGGAGCAAAAACCCCTTTTGGACCAAGAACCACTTTTGGAACCACTTTTGGACCAAAAACCACTTTTGGACCAAAAACCACTTTTGGACCAAGAACCACTTTTGGACCATCCTGTAAAGCAGTTTTCGAGAGGTAAGAAAATAATACACATTAGCATTGGCTAATTCTTATTCCGGGTCCACCCCCACAGGCCCGGGTACTGCAGCATGTCAGCGCACGTCATTTTGGACATTTTTGAGCCGGGACCCACCCTCACTGGTCTGGTCCTGCTCACGGTCCTGGTCTGGTCCTGGTCTGGGTCTGGGTCATGGTCCTGGTCTGGGTACTGGTATTGGTCTGGGTCCTGGTCCTAGTCTGGGTCCTGGTCCTGTCCTGAGTCCTGGTCTGGGTCCTGGTCCTGTCCTGAGTCGTGGTTTTGGTCCTGGTCCCGGTCCTGGTCCACAGACCTGGGATCTTCTTGGCCCACTTGACCATGAGGACCAGTTCCTTGTCGGCGAGCTGTGTGAGCGTCATCATGAGTCTGGTCTCAGTGAAAGGTTTCTGTAGATCCTCCATCAGCAAGACCTGAGGAGGTTCTGCTTCCAGGATCCTCAAGACAAATTGGGCAGGACTGAGACCAGGACCCAGACCAGGACCCAGACCAGGACTGTAGCAGTGAGAGACCTGAGGACCAACAACACAAGACCATCAACACAACCATCAACAACACCTGAGCCTCCTCAGATCAGACGACAGTCTATATACATGTGGACGACAGTCTATATAGATGGAGGACAGTCTGTAAACATGTGGACGACAGTCTATATACATGTGGACGACAGTCTATATAGATGGAGGACAGTCTGTAAACATGTGGACGACAGTCTGTATACGTGTGGACGACAGTCTATATACATGTGGAAGACAGTCTATATACATGTGGACGACAGTCTATATACATGTGGAAGACAGTCTATAAACATGTGGACGACAGTCTATATACATGTGGACGACAGTCTATATAGATGGAGGACAGTCTGTATACATGTGGACGACAGTCTGTATACGTGTGAACGACAGTCTATATACATGTGGAAGACAGTCTATATACATGTGGACGACAGTCTATATACATGTGGACGACAGTATATACATGTGGACGACAGTCTATATACATGTGGACGACAGTCTATATACATGTGGACGACAGTCTATATACATGTGGAAGACAGTCTATATACATGTGGAAGACAGTCTATATACATGTGGACGACAGTCTATATACATGTGAAAGACAGTCTATATACATGTGGACGACAGTCGATATACATGTGGATGACAGTCTATATACATGTGGAAGACAGTCTGTATACATGTGGAAGACAGTCTGTATACATGTGGAAGATAGTCTGTATACATGTGGACGACAGTCTATATACATGTGGACGACAGTCTATATACATGTGGACAACAGTCTGTATACATGTGGACGACAGTCTATATACATGTGGACGACAGTCTGTATACATGTGGACGACAGTCTATATACATGTGGAAGACAGTCTGTATACATGTGGACGACAGTCTATATACATGTGGACGACAGTCTATATACATGTGGACGACAGTCTATATACATGTGGACGACAGTCTATATACATGTGGACGACAGTCTATATACATGTGGACGACAGTCTGTATACATGTGGACGACAGTCTGTATACATGTGGACGACAGTCTGTATACATGTGGAAGACAGTCTGTATACATGTGGAAGACAGTCTATATACATGTGGACGACAGTCTATATACATGTGGACAACAGTCTGTATACATGTGGACGACAGTCTGTATACATGTGGACGACAGTCTGTATACATGTGGACGACAGTCTATATACATGTGGAAGACAGTCTGTATACATGTGGCCGACAGTCTGTATACATGAGGACGACAGTCTATATACATGTGGAAGACATTCTATATACATGTGGAAGACAGTCTATATACATGTGGACGACAGTCTATATACATGTGGACGACAGTCTGTATACATGTGGACGACAGTCTGTATACATGTGGACGACAGTCTGTATACATGTGGAAGACAGTCTGTATACATGTGGAAGACAGTCTATATACATGTGGACGACAGTCTATATACATGTGGACAACAGTCTGTATACATGTGGACGACAGTCTGTATACATGTGGACGACAGTCTGTATACATGTGGACGACAGTTTATATACATGTGGAAGACAGTCTGTATACATGTGGACGACAGTCTGTATACATGTGGACGACAGTCTATATACATGTGGACGACAGTCTATATACATGTGGAAGACAGTCTATATACATGTGGAAGACAGTCTATATACATGTGGGAGACAGTCTGTATACATGTGGACGACAGTCTATATACATGTGGACGACAGTCTATATACATGTGGACGACAGTCTGTATACATGTGGACGACAGTCTGTATACATGTGGACGACAGTCTGTATACATGTGGACGACAGTCTATATACATGTGGAAGACAGTCTGTATACATGTGGACGACAGTCTGTATACATGTGGACGACAGTCTATATACATGTGGAAGACAGTCTGTATACATGTGGCCGACAGTCTGTATACATGTGGACGACAGTCTATATACATGTGGAAGACATTCTATATACATGTGGAAGACAGTCTATATACATGTGGACGACAGTCTATATACATGTGGACGACAGTCTGTATACATGTGGACGACAGTCTGTATACATGTGGAAGACAGTCTATATACATGTGGACGACAGTCTGTATACATGTGGAAGACAGTCTGTATACATGTGGAAGACAGTCTATATACATGTGGACGACAGTCTATATACATGTGGACGACAGTCTGTATACATGTGGACGACAGTCTGTATACATGTGGACGACAGTTTGTATACATGTGGACGACAGTCTATATACATGTGGAAGACAGTCTGTATACATGTGGACGACAGTCTGTATACATGTGGACGAACAGTCTATATACATGTGGACGACAGTCTGTATACATGTGGACGACAGTCTGTATACATGTGGACGACAGTCTGTATACATGTGGAAGACAGTCTGTATACATGTGGAAGACAGTCTATATACATGTGGACGACAGTCTATATACATGTGGACTACAGTCTGTATACATGTGGACGACAGTCTGTATACATGTGGACGACAGTCTGTATACATGTGGACGACAGTTTATATACATGTGGAAGACAGTCTGTATACATGTGGACGACAGTCTGTATACATGTGGACGACAGTCTATATACATGTGGACGACAGTCTATATACATGTGGAAGACAGTCTATATACATGTGGAAGACAGTCTATATACATGTGGGAGACAGTCTGTATACATGTGGACGACAGTCTATATACATGTGGACGACAGTCTATATACATGTGGACGACAGTCTGTATACATGTGGACGACAGTCTGTATACATGTGGACGACAGTCTGTATACATGTGGACGACAGTCTATATACATGTGGAAGACAGTCTGTATACATGTGGACGACAGTCTGTATACATGTGGACGACAGTCTATATACATGTGGAAGACAGTCTGTATACATGTGGCCGACAGTCTGTATACATGTGGACGACAGTCTATATACATGTGGAAGACATTCTATATACATGTGGAAGACAGTCTATATACATGTGGACGACAGTCTATATACATGTGGACGACAGTCTGTATACATGTGGACGACAGTCTGTATACATGTGGAAGACAGTCTATATACATGTGGACGACAGTCTGTATACATGTGGAAGACAGTCTGTATACATGTGGAAGACAGTCTATATACATGTGGACGACAGTCTATATACATGTGGACGACAGTCTGTATACATGTGGACGACAGTCTGTATACATGTGGACGACAGTTTGTATACATGTGGACGACAGTCTATATACATGTGGAAGACAGTCTGTATACATGTGGACGACAGTCTGTATACATGTGGACGACAGTCTGTATACATGTGGACGACAGTCTATATACATGTGGACGACAGTCTATATACATGTGGAAGACAGTCTGTATACATGTGGACGACAGTCTGTATACATGTGGACGACAGTCTATATACATGTGGACGACAGTCTATATACATGTGGAAGACAGTCTATATACATGTGGGAGACAGTCTGTATACATGTGGACGACAGTCTATATACATGTGGACGACAGTCTATATACATGTGGGAGACAGTCTGTATACATGTGGACGACAGTCTATATACATGTGGACAACAGTCTATATACTTATTTTCCACAATATTTTACAAATAAATTCTTTAAAAATCCTACAATGTGAATTCCTGGATTTTTTTCTCTCATTCTGTCTCTCACAGTTGAAGTGAACCTATGATGAACATTACAGACCTCTGTCATTATTTTAAGTGGGAGAACTTGAACAATCGGAGGCTGACTAAATACTTTTTTGACCCACTGTATATGTTGTGTTACCTGGGATAGTGTGTGTGTCTATGTTGTGTTACCTGGGATAGTGTGTGTGTCTATGTTGTGTTACCTGGGATAGTGTGTATGTCTATGTTGTGTTACCTGGGATAGTGTGTGTGTCTATGTTGTGTTACCTGGGATAGTGTGTATGTCTATGTTGTGTTACCTGGGATAGTGTGTGTGTCTATGTTGTGTTACCTGGGTTAGTGTGTGGGTCTATGTTGTGTTACCTGGGATAGTGTGTGTATCTATGTTGTGTTACCTGGGGTAGTGTGTGTATCTATGTTGTGTTACTTGGGGCAGGTGTGTGTCTATGTTGTGTTACCTGGGATAGTGTGTGTGTCTATGTTGTGTTACCTGGGATAGTGTGTGTGTCTATGTTGTGTTACCTGGGATAGTGTGTGTGTCTATGTTGTGTTACCTGGGATAGTGTGTGTGTCTATGTTGTGTTACCTGGGATAGTGTGTGTGTGTCTATGTTGTGTTACCTGGGATAGTGGGTATGTCTATGTTGTGTTACCTGGGATAGTGTGTGTGTGTCTATGTTGTGTTACCTGGGATAGTGGGTATGTCTATGTTGTGATACCTGGGATAGTGTGTGTGTCTATGTTGTGTTACCTGGGTTAGTGTGTGGGTCTATGTTGTGTTACCTGGGATAGTGTGTGTATCTATGTTGTGTTACCTGGGGTAGTGTGTGTATCTATGTTGTGTTACCTGGGGCAAGTGTGTGTATCTATGTTGTGTTACCTGGGGCAGGTGTGTGTCTATGTTGTGTTACCTGGGATAGTGTGTGTGTCTATGTTGTGTTACCTGGGATAGTGTGTGTGTCTATGTTGTGTTACCTGGGATAGTGTGTGTGTCTATGTTGTGTTACCTGGGATAGTGTGTGTGTCTATGTTGTGTTACCTGGGATAGTGTGTGTGTCTATGTTGTGTTACCTGGGATAGTGTGTGTGTCTATGTTGTGTTACCTGGGATAGTGTGTGTGTCTATGTTGTGTTACCTGGGGTAGTGTGTGTGTCTATGTTGTGTTACCTGGGGTAGTGTGTGTATCTATGTTGTGTTACCTGGGATAGTGTGTGTGTCTATGTTGTGTTACCTGGGATAGTGTGTGTGTCTATGTTGTGTTACCTGGGATAGTGTGTGTGTCTATGTTGTGTTACCTGGGGTAGTGTGTGTGTCTAATGTCTATGTTGTGTTACCTAGGGTAGTGTGTGTATCTATGTTGTGTTACCTGGGGTAGTGTGTATCTATGTTGTTTTAGCTGGGGTAGTGTGTGTGTCTATATTGTGTTACCTGGGATAGTGTGTGTGTCTATGTTGTGTTACCTGGGATAGTGTGTGTGTCTATGTTGTGTTACCTGGGATAGTGTGTGTGTCTATGTTGTGTTACCTGGGATAGCGTGTGTGTCTATGTTGTGTTACCTGGGGTAGTGTTTGTGTCTATGTTGTGTTACCTGGGGCAGGTGTGTGTCTACGTTGTGTTACCTGGGGTAGTGTGTGTGTCTATGTTGTGTTACCTGGGATAGCGTGTGTGTCTATGTTGTGTTACCTGGGGTAGTGTTTGTGTCTATGTTGTGTTACCTGGGGAAGGTGTGTGTCTATGTTGTGTTACCTGGGGTAGTGTGTGTGTCTATGTTGTGTTACCTGGGGTAGTGTGTGTATCTATGTTGTGTTACCTGGGGTAGTGTGTGTATCTATGTTGTGTCACCTGGGGTAGTGTGTGTGTCTATGTTGTGTTACCTGGGGTAGTGTTTGTGTCTATGTTGTGTTACCTGGGATAGTGTGTGTGTCTATGTTGTGTTACCTGGGGTAGTGTGTGTGTCTATGTTGTGTTACCTGGGGTAGTGTGTGTATCTATGTTGTGTTACCTGGGGTAGTGTGTGTGTCTATGTTGTGTTACCTGGGGTAGTGTGTGTGTCTATGTTGTGTTACCTGGGGTAGTGTGTGTGTCTATGTTGTGTTACCTGGGGTAGTGTGTGTGTCTATGTTGTGTTACCTGGGGTAGTGTGTGTATCTATGTTGTGTTACCTAGGATAGTGTGTGTGTCTATGTTGTGTTACCTAGGGTAGTGTGTGTATCTATGTTGTGTTAGCTGGGGTAGTGTGTGTATCTATGTTGTGTTACCTAGGGTAGTGTGTGTATCTATGTTGTGTTAGCTTGGGTAGTGTGTGTATCTATGTTGTTTTACCTGGGGTAGTGTGTGTGTCTATGTTGTTTAACCTGGGGTAGTGTGTATGTCTATGTTGTGTTACCTGGGGTAGTGTGTGTATCTATGTTGTGTTACCTGGGGTAGTGTGTGTATCTATGTTGTGTTACCTGGGGTAGTGTGTGTATCTATGTTGTGTTACCTGGGGTAGTGTGTGTATCTATGTTGTTTTACCTGGGGTAGTGTGTGTGTCTATGTTGTTTAACCTGGGGTAGTGTGTATGTCTATGTTGTTTAACCTGGGGTAGTGTGTATGTCTATGTTGTGTGTTATGGGAATTCTGATGCTTCAAATGAAATAATTCCGAGAGGAAACAAACTTGTCCTTTTGTGCAGTTTATTCACAGAAGTGATGAGTACAAAAATTACATTTCTGCGCAGAAAGGAGCCAGACAGAAACATGTGTTACCTGGGGTAGTGTGTGTATCTATATTGTTTTACCTGGGATAGTGTGTGTGTCTATGTTGTGTTACCTTGGGTAGTGTGTGTATCTATGTTGTGTTACCTGGGGTAGTGTGTGGGTCTATGTTGTGTTACCTGGGATAGTGTGTGTATCTATGTTGTGTTACCTGGGGTAGTGTGTGTATCTATGTTGTGTTACCTGGGGCAAGTGTGTGTATCTATGTTGTGTTACCTGGGGCAGGTGTGTGTCTATGTTGTGTTACCTGGGATAGTGTGTGTGTCTATGTTGTGTTACCTGGGATAGTGTGTGTGTCTATGTTGTGTTACCTGGGATAGTGTGTGTGTCTATGTTGTGTTACCTGGGATAGTGTGTGTGTCTATGTTGTGTTACCTGGGATAGTGTGTGTGTCTATGTTGTGTTACCTGGGATAGTGTGTGTGTGTCTATGTTGTGTTACCTGTGATAGTGTGTGTGTCTATGTTGTGTTACCTGGGATAGTGTGTGTGTGTCTATGTTGTGTTACCTGGGGTAGTGTGTGTATCTATGTTGTGTTACCTGGGGTAGTGTGTGTATCTATGTTGTGTTACCTAGGATAGTGTGTGTGTCTATGTTGTGTTACCTGGGATAGTGTGTGTGTCTATGTTGTGTTACCTGGGGTAGTGTGTGTGTCTAATGTCTATGTTGTGTTACCTGGGGTAGTGTGTGTATCTATGTTGTGTTACCTGGGGTAGTGTGTATCTATGTTGTTTTACCTGGGGTAGTGTGTGTGTCTATGTTGTGTTACCTGGGATAGTGTGTGTGTCTATGTTGTGTTACCTGGGATAGCGTGTGTGTCTATGTTGTGTTACCTGGGGTAGTGTTTGTGTCTATGTTGTGTTACCCGCAGTAGTGTGTGTGTCTATGTTGTGTTACCTGGGATAGTGTGTGTGTCTATGTTGTGTTACCTGGGATAGCGTGTGTGTCTATGTTGTGTTACCTGGGGTAGTGTTTGTGTCTATGTTGTGTTACCTGGGGCAGGTGTATGTCTACGTTTTGTTACCTGGGGTAGTGTGTGTGTCTATGTTGTGTTACCTGGGATAGCGTGTGTGTATATGTTGTGTTACCTGGGGTAGTGTTTGTGTCTATGTTGTGTTACCTGGGGAAGGTGTGTGTCTATGTTGTGTTACCTGGGGTAGTGTGTGTGTCTATGTTGTGTTACCTGGGGTAGTGTGTGTATCTATGTTGTGTTACCTGGGGTAGTGTGTGTATCTATGTTGTGTCACCTGGGGTAGTGTGTGTGTGTCTATGTTGTGTTACCTGGGGTAGTGTTTGTGTCTATGTTGTGTTACCTGGGGAAGGTGTGTGTCTATGTTGTGTTACCTGGGGTAGTGTGTGTGTCTATGTTGTGTTACCTGGGGTAGTGTGAGTATCTATGTTGTGTTACCTGGGGTAGTGTGTGTGTCTATGTTGTGTTACCTGGGGTAGTGTGTGTGTCTATGTTGTGTTACCTGGGGTAGTGTGTGTGTCTATGTTGTGTTACCTGGGGTAGTGTGTGTGTCTATGTTGTGTTACCTGGGGTAGTGTGTGTATCTATGTTGTGTTACCTAGGATAGTGTGTGTGTCTATGTTGTGTTACCTAGGGTAGTGTGTGTATCTATGTTGTGTTAGCTGGGGTAGTGTGTGTATCTATGTTGTTTTACCTGGGGTAGTGTGTGTGTCTATGTTGTTTAACCTGGGGTAGTGTGTATGTCTATGTTGTGTTATCTGGGGTAGTGTGTGTGTCTATGTTGTCTTACCTGGGATAGTGTGTGTATCTATGTTGTGTTACCTGGGGTAGTGTGTGTATCTATGTTGTATTACCTGGGGTAGTGTGTGTATCTATGTTGTGTTACCTGGGGTAGTGTGTGTATCTATGTTGTTTTACCTGGAGTAGTGTGTATGTCTATGTTGTTTAACCTGGGGTAGTGTGTATGTCTATGTTGTGTTACCTGGGGTAGTGTGTGTATCTATGTTGTTTTACCTGGGGTAGTGTGTATGTCTATGTTGTGTTACCTTGGGTAGTGTGTGTATCTATGTTGTGTTACCTGGGGTAGTGTGTGTGTCTATGTTGTGTTACCTGGGGTAGTGTGTGTATCTATGTTGTTTAACCTGGGGTAGTGTGTATGTCTATGTTGTGTTACCTGGGGTAGTGTGTGTGTCTATGTTGTGTCACCTGGGGTAGTGGGGTGACTGGAGTGAAGAGGGGCTCCAAGTGAAACTGTCTCTGATTGGTTGAGCCCAGTCGCACCAGGCCCCGCCCCCCCGACAGGTTACCATGGCGATGACGGGCACCGCGGTAACTGCAACGCTCTCTCCGTACACCTGCGGAAAAGTTACATAAGTCCATGGTGTGTAAGTCCATGGTGTGTAAGTCCATGGTCTCTAAGTCCATGGTGTGTGTGTAAGTCCATGGTGTGTAAGTCCATGGTCTTTAAGTCCATGGTGTGTAAGTCCATGGTCTGTAAGTCTATGGTCTCCAAGTCCATGGTGTGTAAGTCCATGGTCTCTATGTCCATGGTGTGTAAGTCCATGGTGTGTAAGTCCATGGTCTGTAAGTCCATGGTGTGTAAGTCCATGGTCTCTAAGTCCATGTTGTGTAAGTCTATGGTCTCTAAGTCCATGGTGTGTAAGTCCATGGTCTCTAAGTCCATGGTGTGTAAGTCCATGGTCTCTAAGTCCATGTTGTGTAAGTCTATGGTCTCTAAGTCCATGGTGTGTAAGTCCATGGTCTCTAAGTCCATGTTGTGTAAGTCTATGGTCTCTAAGTCCATGGTGTGTAAGTCCATGGTCTCTAAGTCCATGTTGTGTAAGTCTATGGTCTCTAAGTCCATGGTGTGTAAGTCCATGGTCTCTAAGTCCATGGTGTGTAAGTCCATGGTCTGTACGTCCATGGTCTGTAAGTCTATGGTGTGTAAGTCCATGGTCTCCAAGTCCATGGTGTGTAAGTCCATGGTCTCTATGTCCATGGTGTGTAAGTCCATGGTGTGTAAGTCCATGGTCTGTAAGTCCATGGTGTGTAAGTCCATGGTGTGTAAGTCCATGGTCTCTAAGTCCATGGTGTGTAAGTCCATGGTCTCTAAGTCCATGGTGTGTAAGTCCATGGTCTCTAAGTCCATGTTGTGTAAGTCTATGGTCTCTAAGTCCATGGTGTGTAAGTCCATGGTCTCTAAGTCCATGTTGTGTAAGTCTATGGTCTCTAAGTCCATGGTCTGTAAGTCTATGGTGTGTAAGTCCATGGTCTCTAAGTCCATGTTGTGTAAGTCTATGGTGTGTAAGTCTATGGTCTCTAAGTCCATGGTCTGTAAGTCTATGGTGTGTAAGTCCATGGTCTCTAAGTCCATGTTGTGTAAGTCCATGGTCTTTAAGTCCATGGTGTGTAAGTCCATGGTCTCTAAGTCCATGGTGTGTAAGTCCATGGTCTCTAAGTCCATGGTGTGTAAGTCCATGGTGTGTAAGTCCATGGTCTGTAAGTCTATGGTGTGTAAGTCCATGGTCTCTAAGTCCATGTTGTGTAAGTCCATGGTCTCTATGTCCATGGTGTGTAAGTCCATGGTGTGTAAGTCCATGGTCTTTAAGTCCATGGTGTGTAAGTCCATGGTCTCTTAGTCCATGGTGTGTAAGTCCATGGTCTCTAAGTCCATGGTGTGTAGTCCCATGGTGTGTAAGTCCATGGTGTGTAAGTCCTGGTCTGTACGTCCATGGTCTGTAAGTCCATGGTGTGTAAGTCCATGGTGTGTAAGTCCATGGTGTGTAAGTCCATGGTGTGTAAGTCCATGGTCTTTAAGTCCATGGTGTGTAAGTCCATGGTGTGTAAGTCCATGGTCTCTTAGTCCATGGTGTGTATGTCCATGGTGTGTATGTCCATGGTGTGTATGTCCATGGTGTGTATGTCCATGGTGTGTATGTCCATGGTGTGTATGTCCATGGTCTCTATGTCCATGGTGTGTATGTCCATGGTGTGTATGTCCATGGTGTGTATGTCCATGGTGTGTATGTCCATGGTCTCACCACATTTCCTCATGCCGACCTCCTGGCACTTCCTGAGCCGACAGGCCTGGCAGCTCTTCCTGCGGTTCTTATCGATGGTGCACTGGTTTGTGGCCGGACAGATGTAGTCGTTGTGACCTGCAACAGAGAGAGTGACACCTGGTCCTGGTCTCAGTCCTGGTTCTGGTGTCAGTCCTAATCTCGGTCCTGGTCTCAGGTCTGGTCTCAGGTCTGGTCTCAGGTCTGGTCTCAGGTCTGGTCTCAGGTCCGGTCTCAGGTCTAGTCTCAGTCCTGGTCTCAGTCCTGGTCTCAGTCTTGGTCTCAGTCTTGGTCTCAGGCCTGATCCAGGTCTAGTACCTTGGATGCTCCTCTTGAAGAAGGCCTTGCAGCCCTCGCAGGACCACACGCCGTAATGGTATCCGGAGGCAAAGTCTCGGCAGACGGCACAGAGGTGCATCTCCGACCGGACAGGAGGCTCCGGAGACTTTAGAGCCCAACCCGAGCTGACCTCCTCTGGAGACTTTAGAGCCCAACCCGAGCTGACCTCCTCTGGAGACTTTAGAGCCCAACCCGAGCTGACCTCCTCTGGAGACTTTAGAGCCCAACCCGAGCTGACCTCCTCTGGAGACTTTAGAGCCCAACCCGAGCTGACCTCCTCTGGAGACTTCAGAGCTGACAGGGTGGAGCTGCAGCCAAGGAATGAACTGAGGAGAGACCAACTCAGCATTAGAGACCAACTTAGGAATGAGAGAGAGATGAAGAGAGTTGGAGCCAAACTTCACGACCTTCCCTATAGAACGTCATATTGGGTTAACATTGAGCTAGCGGATTAGCATTGAGCTAGAGGGTTAACGTTGAGCTAGTAAGTAACATAGACTGTATATATTAACGGACAGAGTCACGCCAATCTCCGCCGTTCTAACTAATGGGCCAAAAAATGTGCTCTACTGGAGCAATCCAAAATGGCCGCAAGTGGTCCCGCCCACAAGAAAATTGTGAAAAAACGCATCTGCGCATGCGTCAGCCGGAGCAGCTCCATTCATTTGAACGAGAGACTTAAAAAATTCACAGCAAGTAAACTAGAGTGGACCAAAAAAATCCACCCCCCTCAGCATTGACACACATGTGGAACGGAGCTTTGGGCCAAGAGCCAACTTTTGGTCCATCCTGTAAAGACGTTTTTGAGAGTTCTGCCAATGCTATATGTTAGCATTGGCTAATTCTTCTTCTGGGTCCACCCCCATCGGCCCGGGGTGGTACTGCAGCATGTCAGCGCACGTCATTTTGGACACTTTTGAGCTGGGACCCGCCCCCACTGGTAAGTAAGCAGGTTAGCATTGAGCTAGTAGGTAACAGGTTAGCAGTGAGGTAGCGGGTTAACCCATGTTGAGAGCGCCCCCTACCTGTTGCAACTGAACTGTTTGGCCTGGATCCAGGCACTGGGCTCTGGGTACAGCAGTGGTGCAGCGCAGGGCCAGAAGGGCGCGTCAGTGAGCCCGGAGGGGTAGTAGAAGGACAGGGGGACAGAAGGGCGGTAGTCCTGCCCAGTGTCTGCATACGGAGCCGGGATGCACACGGTATGGTCCAGGACAGAGGACGGGGAGGACACACACCCCTGTGGACACAGGGACATAAGATCATTTAGGTCTCTCTCTGGTCTCTCTCTGGTCTCTCTCTGGTCTCTCTCTGGTCTCTCTCTGGTCTCTCTCTGGTCTCTCTCTGGTCTCTCTCTGGTCTCTCTCTGGTCTCTCTCTCTGGTCTCTCTCTCTGGTCTCTCTCTGGTCTCTCTGCAATTTCCACTTGCGCAACATCTCTAAGCTCAGACAAATGGTCTCGGGTCCGGAGCTGGAGATGATTGTCCACGCTTTTGTTTCCTCGCGATTGGACTACTGTAACAGCCTGCTTACATGTCTTAGTAAAAAAGACCTGGCTCGTTTACAGGTCGTCCAAAATTCTGCTGCAAGGCTTTTGACCCGCACCCACAGGAGAGCCCACATTACCCCTGTCTTAAAGGCCTTACACTGGCTCCCTGTCTCACACAGAATACATTTTAAAATTCTGGTGTTGACTTTTAGGGCCCTTATTGGTCAGGCGCCTGAATACATCCAGGGCCTGATCCATCCTTATGTCTCCAACAGGAGTCTGAGGTCCTCTACTCAGAACCTGTTGATGGTCCCCCGGACTCGTTTCAAAACCAGAGGAGACAGATCCTTCCAGGCAGTTGCTCCTCGCCTTTGGAATGAGCTTCCTCAGTCTCTGCGTATGTTAGAGTCTGTTGATGATTTTAAGTCCCAACTAAAGACACATTTGTTTGGACAGGCTTTCTCGCACCATTGTTCATAGGCCTCTGTGAATGTAAATTGTGTTTTCTGTGTTTGTTTTATCTGACTTGTGTGTGTATTTTGTATTTTAATGTGTGAAGCGCTTTGTGACCCTGGTCTGTGAAAGGCGCTATACAAATAAACTTTACTTACTTACTTACTTACTTCTCTCTGGTCTCTCTCTCTGGTGTCTCTCTGGTCTCTCTCTGGTCTCTCTCTCTGGTGTCTCTCTGGTCTCTCTCTAGTCTCTCTCTCTGGTGTCTCTCTGGTCTCTCTCTGGTCTCTCTCTCTGGTCTCTCTCTGGTCTCTCTCTGGTCTCTGTCTGGTCTCTCTCTGGTCTCTCTCTGGTCTCTCTCTGGTCTCTCTCTGGTCTCTGTCTCAGGTAAAAGTCTCAGACCTGAGTTTGGCCAGTGGAGCAGGGGCCGTAGGTGGGAGTCCTGTGGCCAGGGGAGAGGCCTCTGTCCTGGGTCGGTTTGGTGGAGTCACGCTGCTGAAGCTCCAGAGCCGTGGGGGAAGAAGACATGTTTTCAGAGTCAGGTCTGAGGAGAGGAGAGCAGGACCATAAACCACACGTGTGTCATGTGACTGTTATAGACACGTGTGTGTGTCATGTGACTGTTATAGACACACGTGTGTGTCATGTGACTGTTATAGACACTAAAGATCAAAACAAGACCACGTCTTCGGACCGAGCGTCACCTCAGAGCTGCTCTGTTTAAATTGTTTCAACATCTCATTTTATTCGGAGCAAAAAACAGGTCTAAAGCAGGTCTAAAGCAGGACTAAAGCAGGTCTAAAGCAGGTCTAAAGCAGGACTAAAGCAGGACTAAAGCAGGTCTAAAGCAGGACTAAAGCAGGACTAAAGCAGGTCTAAAGCAGGTCTAAAGCAGGTCTAAAGCAGGTCTAAAGCAGGTATAAAGCAGGACTAAAGCAGGTTTCATAAAAGGCCCTACAGACTGCTCAGACTACAGAACAAGTTAGCAATCAGCAGATAATGTTTTGAGTAAGTGAACATCAGGTATTTCATGGACATGGACCCAGATCAGGTGTGTCTGATCTGGGACACAGTGAGACCATGTGGACCATCTCAAACAAGTCATGAGACCATGTGGACCATCTCAAACCAGTCATGAGACCATGTGGACCATCTCAAACAAGTCATGAGACCATGTGGACCATCTCAAACAAGTCATGAGACCATGTGGATAATCTAAAAACCAGTCGCAAAACTTCAAAAGCTGCTTCTTCTTCCTGTCATAAACTCCTCTGGTGCAGCGTCCAGAGCTCTGTCCAGACCCGCTGTGAGGAGAGACCAGAGACCAGACCAGAGAGAGACCAGAGAGAGACCAGAGAGTGACCAGAGAGAGACCAGAGACCAGAGAGAGACCAGAGAGTGACCAGAGAGAGACCAGAGAGAGACCTGAGACCAGAGAGAGACCAGAGAGAGACCAGAGAGAGACCAGAGACCAGAGAGAGAGCCCAGAGAGAGACCAGAGAGTGACCAGAGAGAGACCAGAGAGTGACCAGAGAGAGACCAGAGACAGACCAGAGACAGACCAGAGAGAGACCAGAGAGTGACCAGAGAGAGACCAGAGAGAGACCAGAGAGAGACCAGAGAGAGACCAAAGAGAGACCAGAGAGACCAGAGAGAGACCAGAGAGAGACCAGAGAGAGACCAGAGAGAGACTAGAGACCAGAGAGAGACTAGAGACCAGAGACCAGACCAAGAGAGACCAGAGAGAGACCAGAGAGACCAGAGAGAGAGACCAGAGACCAGACCAGAGAGAGACCAGAGAGAGACCAGAGAGACCAGAGACCAGAGAGAGAGACCAGAGAGAGACCAAAGAGAGACCAGAGAGCCCAGAGACCAGAGAAACCAGAGAGACCAGAGAGAGACCAGAGAGAGACCAGAGAGAGACCATAAAAATATAACACAGTTGTGTTTTGTTTCGTTTTAAACATCTTTAAATGGGTTTGTCGTAGTTTGAATGTTCTGATCAAACTGTGTCAGAGAACACCAGACTCATTCTAATGTGGGGGAAGTGTCTTGCCTAAGGACACAACCACAGTTTGGCACTTTACAGCCGCAGCCGCCCCACTGTGGCACCTGCTGTTCAGAGGTCTCCCATCACAGTACTAACCAGGCCCTGCCCTGCTGAGGTCACAGCACATTGGACCAATCAGATCAGGTCTCTAAAGGAAACTCTTCATTCTGTCAACAGGGGGAGCAGCGTCTGCTGTCAGAGCTCCCTGTATCTCTCTCTCTCTCCTCCTAAAGACGGACTAAAGCAGGTCTAAAGCAGGACTAAAGCAGGACTAAAGACGGACTAAAGCAGGTCTAAAGCAGGACTGAAGCAGGTCTAAAGCAGGACTAAAGCAGGTCTAAAGCAGATCTAAAGCAGGACTAACGCAGGACTAAAGCAGGTCTAAAGCAGGTCTAAAGCATGTCTAAAGCAGGAATAAGGCAGGTCTAAAGCAGGTCTAAAGCAGGTCTAAAGCAGGACTAACGCAGGACTAACGCAGGTCTAACGCAGGACTAAAGCAGGACTAAAGCAGGACTAAAGCAGGACTAAAGCAGGACTAAAGCAGGACTAAAGCAGGGCTAAAGCAGGTCTAAAGCTGGACTCAAGCAGGTCTAAAACAGGTCTAAAACAGGTCTAAAACAGGTCTAAAACAGGTCTAAAGCAGGACTAAAGCAGGACTAAAGCAGGACTAAAGCAGGACTCAAGCAGGTCTAAAGCAGGTCTAAAACAGGTCTAAAGTAGGTCTAAAGCAGGTCTAAAGCAGGTCTAAAACAGGTCTAAAGCAGGTCTAAAGCAGGACTAAAGCAGGTCTAAAGCAGGACTAAGGCAGGACTAAAGCAGGTCTAAAACAGGTCTAAAGCAGGTCTAAAGCAGGTATAAAGCAGGACTAAAGCAGGTTTCATAAAAGGCCCTACAGACTGCTCAGACTACAGAACAAGTTAGCAATCAGCAGATAATGTTTTGAGTAAGTGAACATCAGGTATTTCATGGACATGGACTACAGGTGTGTCTGATCTGGGACACAGTGAGACCATGTGGACCATCTCAAACAAGTCATGAGACCATGTGGACCATCTCAAACCAGTCATGAGACCATGTGGACCATCTCAAACATGTCATGAGACCATGTGGATAATCTCAAACAAATCATGAGACCATGTGGACCATCTCAAACAAGTCATGAGACCATGTGGACAATCTCAAACCAGTCATGAGACCATGTGGACCATCTCAAACAAGTCATGAGACCATGTGGACCATCTCAAACAAGTCATGAGACCATGTGGATAATCTCAAACAAGTCATGACACCGTGTGGACAATCTCAAACAAGTCATGAGACCATGTGGACAATCTCAAACCAGTCATGAGACCATGTGGACCATCTCAAACAAGTCATGAGACCATGTGGACAATCTCAAACAAGTCATGAGACCATGTGGACCATCTCAAACAAGTCATGACACCGTGTGGACAATCTCAAACAAGTCATGAGACCATGTGGACCATCTCAAACAAGTCATGAGACCATGTGGACAATCTCAAACAAGTCATGAGACCATGTGGACCATCTCAAACAAGTCATGACACCATGTGGACCATCTCAAACAAGTCATGAGACCATGTGGACAATCTCAAACCAGTCATGAGACCATGTGGACCATCTCAAACAAGTCATGACACCGTGTGGACAATCTCAAACAAGTCATGAGACCATGTGGACAATCTCAAACCAGTCATGAGACCATGTGGACCATCTCAAACAAGTCATGAGACCATGTGGACAATCTCAAACAAGTCATGAGACCATGTGGATAATCTAAAAACCAGTCGCAAAATTTCAAAAGCTGCTTCTTCTTCCTGTCATAAACTCCTCTGGTGCAGCGTCCAGAGCTCTGTCCAGACCCGCTGTGAGGAGAGACCAGAGACCAGACCAGAGAGAGACCAGAGAGTGACCAGAGAGAGACCAGAGACCAGAGAGAGACCAGAGAGTGACCAGAGAGAGACCAGAGAGAGACCAGAGACCAGACCAGAGACCAGACCAGAGAGAGACCAGAGAGAGACCAGAGACCAGACCAGAGACCAGACCAGAGAGTGACCAGAGAGAGACCAGAGAGAGACCAAAGAGAGACCAGAGAGCCCAGAGCCCAGAGACCAGAGAGAGACCAGAGAAACCAGAGAGACCAGAGAGAGAGACCAGAGACCAGAGAGAGAGACCAGAGAGAGACCAGAGAGAGACCATAAAAATATAACACAGTTGTGTTTTGTTTCGTTTTAAACATCTTTAAATGGGTTTGTCGTAGTTTGAATGTTCTGATCGAACTGTGTCAGAGAACACCAGACTCATTCTAATGTGGGGGAAGTGTCTTGCCTTAGGACACAACCACAGTTTGGCACTTTACAGCCGCAGCCGCCCCACTGTGGCACCTGCTGTTCAGAGGTCTCCCATCACAGTACTAACCAGGCCCTGCCCTGCTGAGGTCACAGCACATTGGACCAATGAGATCAGGTCTCTAAAGGAAACTCTTCATTCTGTCAACAGGGGGAGCAGCGTCTGCTGTCAGAGCTCCCTGTATCTCTCTCTCTCTCCTCCTAAAGACGGACTAAAGCAGGTCTAAAGCAGGACTAAAGCAGGACTAAAGACGGACTAAAGCAGGTCTAAAGCAGGACTAAAGCAGGACTAAAGCAGGACTAAAGCAGGACTAAAGACGGACTAAAGCAGGTCTAAAGCAGGACTAAAGCAGGTCTAAAGCAGATCTAAAGCAGGACTAAAGCAGGTCTAAAGCAGGACTAAAGCAGGTCTAAAGCAGGTCTAAAGCTGGACTAAAGCAGGACTAAAGCAGGTCTAAAAAAGGACTAAAGCAGGTCCAAAGCAGGACTAAAGCAGGACTAAAGCAGGTCTAAAGCAGGACTAAAGCAGGTCTAAAGCAGGTCTAAAGCAGGACTAAAGCAGGACTAAAGCAGGACTAAAGCAGGTCTAAAACAGGACTAAAGCAGGACTAAAGCAGGACTAAAGCAGGTCTAAAGCAGGACTAAAGCAGGTCTAAAACAGGACTAAAGCAGGACTAAAGCAGGACTAAAGCAGGTCTAAAGCAGATCTAAAGCAGGTCTAAAGCAGGTTTAAAGCAGGTCTAAAGCAGGACTAAAGCAGGACTAAAGCAGGTCTAAAACAGGACTAAAGCAGGACTAAAGCAGGACTAAAGCAGGTCCAACGCAGAGTTCTCTTCAGGGATGCGGCGTGTGAAGCACAGACTGTAAACGTTGACGGACGTTTAGAGACGACATCATAATGAGACAGATTTAGTCGTCACGGAAACTGTCTTTAACTGTCACCGTAACCATAGCACTGAGAGACATGTAACTGTCACCGTAACCACAGCACTGAGAGACATGTAACTGTCACCGTAACCACAGCACTGAGAGACATGTAACTGTCACCGTAACCACAGCACTGAGAGACATGTAACTGTCACCGTAACCACAGCACCGAGAGACATGTA